GAAAGAAAAAATATCTCGAAAATTATCTAAACAAACATTTTTTTTTCTTATCAGTGAAAAACATCGACCTCGTCGGCCTTGCGGAATTTGTCGGGTATTTACAATGGTCGAATTGTATAATTACCAGCTTTTATAGCATATCTAATAGACAAAAAGTATCTGGTCGATTAGTAACCAATTGGCACAGTCCGAAAATTATCGATTTTTATTTTCTCTGTTTTTATTGGTCGCTTCAAAATTCAGAGTAACAAAAAATATTTTTCTGTAGTAAAAGACTGTGAAATACGCCCCGCCATCTGGTGCTTTACATCCATAAACGTCTTAGGTTGAGCTACTTTAAAAATTCATATACAAGGGTAATAGCTTCTTACTCTTTAGAAAATTTTGAATATTTTTTTGTTAGAGCCATTTTCCCCTATCTACCAAAATAAAGTGGTGGGGGAAGGTTAGATCTGTTACTCTATATTATACCATATAAACAATAATAATAAGCTTTTGGACGTAGACGCTAGGGGGCGTTGTCTTACAATTTAACAAACATAGCGCGTTTATTCAAAAAAATTAAATACAATAGTATATGTAATTTTAGCTGATCGGAAAGAGTAGAAAAAGCTTAAAAAGTCTGCGAAAACCGCATCTTGATATCTTCTTTCAAACCGAAGATATTAGCAAAATTTTAATAAATAACAAAAAATAAGCCTTGAATTACCTTATTTTTACAACACGGTATCAGTAGGGTATAAGTAGCCCTCTTGATTATGCGCATTCTAACAAAAAATAAGATAAAAACAGTTAGTTTATTTTAAAATCGACGAAATACCAGAATACCATAATACCAGAGGTATTAATATCTAATAATTAAGATATTAATAACAGTGGACAAGAAACGATGATTCAGTGAAGTCATGGTAGGCTTTGGAAAAAAGTTGCTTTTGACGTAATTTGACGTAGTATAAACGTCAAATTGTTATTAGATCAACATTTTGATAGTCTTAGCAGCGTTTTTTTATTATTAAATTATTAATCGATTTATCCATATTTCAAAAAATGAAAACCGAACCATAGATGATACAGAAATTATGTCTACACAATGAAAGAGTTTTTTTTTATAGCAAAAAAGCGTAAAGGTACAAAATTACATGAAAATAATAATTATGAAATATTGGGCAATATCGATGCATGTAATTTTGTTGATAAGGTACTAGACAGTTTTGACCTCGGTTTTGCCAGGCAGTTTTGACAATAAAGTCAATAAATGAAAATAAAACTGGAGAAATAGTTAAAGCTAAATGATATAATAAAACACTTTACACCAAATTGGGCCATCTCTTTAAAATCATTGAGGAAAATGAAATAGAAAAATTAAAGAAGGGTAGGGGCAAGGAGAATTATCTTCCTGTATTGAAAAGTGGTCATCAAACAGAGGGAACACGTTCTACATTTGAGTGGAGTGGCAAAAATTTTTAGAACGGGAAATAGTTAAAAAAGGTCGATAAATATGCCATTTCTAAAGCTAGTGCATCTAAAATATTATCTGAACTAATTGCCTAATTTTGATGCAAGCGCTAAACTTTTTTATTTTTAATTAAATTTTCGTGGTTCAACTATATTATTAGATTTTGTAGTTTAGTCACAAATTACCTATAACAGATGCGAAAGAAAGCGACTGCATCGGAAACCGCTCGGCAAACCCCACACGCCTATTGAGTGGTGTAAATACACCAGTCGTTTAGTCCGGAAACCTATGCTGTGTCGTATTCGCTTGATGGAATGACATAGTGGGTGGTTATATGTTTCTTTTTGAAAACGGGTGTAGGATTTTTGTTGAACTTTTGAACTGTTATTTCTAAGTTTTGGTAATTTGTATATCTTATTTAAAATGAGATACAAATGTGTTTATTTATAAGGAAAAAAAGATATTTATAGTATAAAAAATTAATTTATTTAACAAAATTTAATTAAAAATGTGACAAAATAGTACCTTTCTATTGGTTCTATCGGACTTTTTTCGACTATATAAATCTTTATTTGTAAACTTTAATACATCAAATATTTTCAATCTAATAAATCATTTAATGATGTAAATAAGAGGAAATTTCTCACATGGGTGGTCAAATTCTATAGTTTTCATTATATCTATATACTATTTTATCACATCTTTAATTAAATTTTGTTAAATAAATTAATTTTTTATACTATAAATAATTTTTTTTTCCTAATCTCCTACGAACTGATATAATATGACGAGCAATCTATTAAATTACTGTGAGATTGTGAGATTATATGCCTCGATTACATATTGGTGCAGATTATTTTCACCCAAACAAATAATAACCCAAACTATACATTGATGCGGATTGTCTATGAACTCTTTCTGAAGGTCACAGAAACCTGAACGCGTAAAATGCCCCGTTCTCAGAACTGCGACTGTCGCCAGCGACACGACAAAAGAACCAATCAGATTTGTACAAAATTCAAACAGCTGTCAATTTTAAATTTAGTACAGCTCCCATTGGTCGTTTGAAGTGTCAATCAGTGTCGCTGTCGACACGACGCAGTTCTGAGAACGGGGCTTAATTCGGTGTTCTTTCGCATCTGTTATAGGTAATTTGTGGTTTAGTTTTAAGGTAGCAACAATAAGAAAAAGTCAGTAACAATTAACAAAGAAAAGGTGTAGTTTATTTATTTAAAACGGTCTCACAAAAAAGCGGAAATTTCCAAAAAAATGAAAATATAGTCTCTTAGAAATATACACGAAATATAATGTCTCCACTACCATCTATTGGTTGTGTTTCGTAATATACATTTTTCTTTGTATACAGTTACCGCTGCGGTGATCGCAATCAATACACACTCAACGCCAAAGAAGTAGAGATATTTCTTCACAGATGGCAGGACACGAAAACTGGCATGTTATTATTATTTTCAAAAATCCTTTTTTTATTAAAATATAATTATAATATTGTATAATTGTGTTTTATTATATTATTTTTGGTAAAGGTGTGGATCCGGTGGCTGACCTTGAGGCCCATATTTGCTGCATTTGATCATCGATACTACGCAAGCGCACATCGTCGAGGTTGCCAAATTGCAGTTTATTTTCGAATTATTTGAAGTTGAAAATTTTTTTTTGAGTGTTAATCAATAATAATACAAATTCTATAATTAATTTTATAATTTCAGATTTATCTTGATATCTAAAATTAGAGAATGATATATAAAATTGAATATATAAAATTGTAATAATAATAAAACATTTATTTATATATTTACATTAGAATTAAAAATTATCATTTACTGATTTTTTCTTAATGCTTTTAAACTTATTAGAATTATTTTATTTCTTTCAAGTTATTTAATTTCTAGTTATTTACAGGCAACAATAATTTTGATTATATATATTGATGTATTGAAGTACCACCATGACGAGTCTTATAGAACAATACACGTCAATGGGAGATAGAGGTAACATTTTACCTCTAATGTTACTAATATAATATACTTTGATTATAATGTTGGTATCATAATTTCTTAAAAATATCAAGTTAGTGGATTAATAGCAATTTTAGACATATATTTTATCGAAGAGTTGTGGTGATAAGACTAAAATAAGCTTTATGTTTTATCTTTTTCTCTTTAGAAGGGTTTGTGTCGTAGACTTTACAGTATTTAATATCGTATACTTTGATATTCTTTTCTTAATTTACTGTAATTTCTTGTTTCCTATAATGCCAAATCTTGACAATATGGTGAAGGTTGAGTTTTGATCTTATTAGTTTTATACCTGTGTATATACAAGACCAAATTAAGACTTAGTTTGTGATTTATATTAAGATCTTTCTTATATTTGTTATGTCTTAATCTTAATACTATATTATGCTTTGTCTGGAAAATAAATGTTAAAATATCTTAATTTTGCATATCCTATTCCTTCCTTCCATTAGGAAAAAAATGGTTTATAAATCATATATGCTAAGAAAATCACATAAATTAGGTGTAAGAATAGAAATCTTAAGGTAGCAGAAAAATTAATGCAATATATGTATAAGCAGATTAAACAAGGTAACTGTTAATGTTGCTGAAGCTGATTCTACCATTTTAATTACGGAGGCTAAAAGGCCTTTTAAATTAAGGCCTCCGTAGTTTTGATGGAATGTTAAAAAAAACTATTATGAACATGACATGGAGCTACAGCATCTAAAAATTAAAAAAAAAAAGAAAAAACTTGGACACATCCCTTTTAATTTCCCGAATTTTTAATAAAGCCCTTTTTAAACGTAGCATAATAATCTAGAGCAATTAGATTAATTATAGGAATCTAGAGTTTTATTTCTATTTAATTTTATTGACTATGAAAATACATTTTCACGCGTTCACGTGTTGTGCGAAATATTAAAATATTAACATAAATAATATACCGCGTACTATGATTGAAAAAAAATAGCGTCAGTGATGACTATGAAATGAAGATCGCTGTAATTTTATATGGGAAATGTCCTTTATCGTCATTTCCCAGCCAACTGGACGCCGTTTTTTCGATCATACGGTATATATTGACAAAAAAACACTGAAAAGCACATATTTGTTTTCTACTGAAAATAATTCCAAAATAACTCACAATCTGGCAACATCGAAGATGTGCGCATGCGTAGTGTCTGTGACTATATGCAGCAAAAACTCGTTTCAAGGTCAGCCACCGGATCCACACCATTACCTTATTTTTTTATTTGGTTAAATAATGGTTAAATAATATATACTAATATTATCTTAATTTTATGTAGTCTTTTATTTATCTTATGACTGTATACATATACTATTGCAAAATATCACATCACATTCATATTGAAGCATAATATATTATTTTATTATACACTTATATGCAGTAGAAAGGTACTAAAAATAATTGCTAAGGTCTATGACAAGGACCATAACGCTTGGTAACTAATATTTACACTATTTATATTACTTAAAATTAGTAATATGTTCATATTTCTCTTATCTTCAGTCATCTTACAATGAAGTATCCAAAGTAGAGCATCACCATGAGTATGTTGTTGTAATAGCTATTCATCGAACCTGAAATTAAAAAAATATAATTGCAAGTTGTTCAATTTTAATAACCACCATAGCATAACGTCTTCAAATTTATGTATTTACAGATATTTTGATATTGAATATTTAAATTTTATGGCATTAAACAAAAAAAAATAATTACAATAGACACTGCCAAACTCAAAACCCACTTGATATTTTCTTTTACAGGGTCCGAAAATAGTGGGTCGGGCATCTGTAGCTCTTAAAATAAAAAACTTAGCAATTTTGTGTAAGTGCAAACCTAAAGTATGTTTTAGGATGTATTTCAGGAAAATAATTTATCCTCTACCAGGACCAGGACGATTTTTTTAAATGGCTATGCACCCAAACAATCTGTATACCGTGTTGGCAACTGTTACCTTTGGGTCGGCATTTACATGTGTGGAAGTAAATCGCATAGGGATTCTATTAAGTCGGAGTGAGAGAAATGCGACCAACCGACGCGACGCGCGACGGTGTGCCGTTGCGGCGTTGCCGATACGCCTTTCCCTATCAAGTAAAGTAAAATCACGATCGCAAACCGCTTATTTTTAAAAGACTTTTTTTTAAGAGATAACTAGATAAAATCATTAGACATGTTTCTGAGCATCTGAAACGGAATTATAAGGATATCGTTAGGGTGTCATTTTTTTTATAACGAGAAAACGTCAGTAATCGCGATAATTTATAAACTCAACTTTTTAACACATAAGAGGCCATAACTCAAGATCCACTTTAGATATTGAAACTTTTTTTTATTTTCAAGATCGAATATTTTACAATATGTTTACATAAGAAAAATTCGATAAGGTTGTTTTTTCCATTCAAAAATTGTAAACAATCCATCCATTTACTTTTAGAGCATAGCAATTTTTAGCAATCGTGTAATTTTTTTATTGATGAAGATTTTCACATACTGTATACAAAGAAAATACAGCAGAAATATTAACAAAGTTCTTGAAAAAACTACAATCTATTATTTCTAATAGATTTCGAGATATCGATTTTTTAATTCTCCATTTACTAAAAAACATTAAAGAAAATTTATTTTATATTTTAGAAAGTTTGGCGTAGAATCTTGAACATCCTGTATTATTTAAGATTACGTATTTATAGCAAAGTAAGTACAGACCATCTAACGTAATTTTTTCAATGAAGGTTGCAAAATATATATATTTTTTATTTGTTTATTAATATCTCTGAAACTATCGAAATATGTCTACTCATATCTTAGTGTTAAAGTGATCTGAAAGGAAGCCAAAAATGCAATAATATACAGGGTGTTCTATTTAAAAAAAATCATCCCGATCCACCCACGCTTTTTTGAGCCACCCTGTTAGAAGTTAAAATATTTTCCTGAAATACATCCTAATACATACTTTAGGTTAGCACTTAAAAAATATTTCCAAGTTTTTTTATTCTAGAAGCTATATACAGATGCCCGACGCACTATTGCCGGACCCTGTATATATTACAGCATTGACATGCAATGCAATTTAAATAAATATCTAGCAGTATATTTTTTCCAATCATTAATAAAATTCCTCTCTTATTCAGGCTCCATTTTTGCAATTAGTGTTGTTTTAATGGCTTATAAACCAACGAATAAGTTACAAACCTACACATAATAATAGCAATAAAAAAGACATTAAAAATCCACTTTAACTTTTTTAATTCAATATGAAACTTTTTGCCAAATTATCTGCTAGGTACTTAATTTTAATAGATACTAACGAACATTTGTGTCCTAAAAATACAGTATAAGTAGAGGGAGATCATGGTACAAAGAATACAAGGTATGATCGATAGCGGCTCCAATTTCGTTCAGTTCGCGCATACCATCTGTGACGTCACTAGGAAAATAATGAATAAAATAAAAAATAAAGAAAGTTGACAGGAGATCTGCATTTTTTGGGGTTATGGCTCTGGTTATGGTTAAGAATTGTTTATTTTTAAAACTTTTTAGTTCGTTTAATTTAATAATTACTAAAACCAGCAGTTCCAAAAATATATTTAAAAATAATTATCTATTAACATGGATTTGGACGATAATAATAGGTAAGAATACTAAATTTATTTCTATATTCGGTATAAAATTGTTTATTAGGTTTTTAGTTTGCGATGTTTATGGAAATAATTTTCATGTTCATTGCCTCTGAATTCACATGAGGACAGAGATGAGGATATCTATGGAAAAGTAACCACAAGAGGAATTGTTACATCATTTAAAAAATGTTGGGAAGTTGAAGTTTCCCATCGAAAAGTAGAAAATGCCAATGCAGATGAATGTATTGTAATTGTGATAGAAGTAATTCCAAGGGTGAAGTCTATTATAATTAGTGACCTGTGCTTCTTTTTATATGTAGATGTTTCAGGTTTTGAGAATAAATCGGTTGAACGAAACCCAAAATTTAGAGGAAGTATTTGCATACCCAGAATATGACCTCAAGGATTATATAGCTCAAATTTCCTTTAATGGTAGGCAATTATTCAATGCAAATTAACTTTTTAAGTGACTGAAATATTAAATAGTTTACAATATGGTATATCACTAAAAATATATTACTTTTAGGTACAATTAGTGCCCGATACATTTCAAAAAGTAGAATATTATTTTATATTAAATGAGGTGTTGTACCAACAATCAATTTATATTAATACCGGAGATTAAAAAATAACAGAATAAATAGTTCTTTTTTTTATACTACAAAAATAAACTATAGAATACAACAGTATTTAAAAAATAAATAAAAAGTTATGTCCCGGCCGAGATTCGAACTCCGGTCTCTCGCTTCCTAGCCCGACTCCTTACGCACTGCTCCACAGTAACTTGCTTAGCGATAATTCAAAGGCGGTATATAAACAAAAAAACAGGTTTATAACAATATCTTGACGATTTGAACTGGCGCGCGGAGCGTGCTGACCAATAGCGCTAGTTATCACCTGTGACGTAGCGACCAACCTGCGCAATATCATACCTTGTATTCTTTGTACCATGGAGGGAGATGGCCGATTCTACGCCTGGAGGAGGCGCACTGCGCGTACGCGTAGTACGTTAAAATAAGTTAATAAACAAGAATAAACAGCTTTGAACCGTTTTTGAACTGCTTTCAACGGGTTTGAACAAAAAATTAACAGATCTGTTGTTTTAAGCTAAAAAGCGGTTCAAAGCAGTTCAAAAGTGGTTCAAAGCTGTTCAAACCTGTTTATTCTTGTTTATTAGCGTATTTTAACCATTCTTACCTGATTTACGCGCATGCGCAGTGCGCCTCCTCCGCCTCATCCAGGCGTAGAATCGGCAATCTCCCTCTACTACTTTTTTATTTTTTCAGTTAAAAAACGAGATTTGGTATGTTAGTATATGACATAAATTAGGATTATTAGGATTGATTGACGTATTCAATTGTTTTCGGTCACTTCCTGTTTCACCGGAAATTACTACAACTTTTGAATTTTAAATGGCACCCTGGGTATTTTTTTACTTTATTCGTTATTAAAAATAACAGCATTCAACGTAATGACATAATGATTGACATAATGTACAAGTATAGTTTTTATTAATCTATTATTTTTTATTATCTATTCCTATGGAGTCACTATGGAGTACACCATAGAATTTTATTTTATTTTTATTTATTTACGCAAACTTAAAAATTGGTAGTATTGAGAGAAAGAATAATTATGTTTTATATATTAAATTGATGAGTCGGTCTCTTAATAAAGAAAAGTTATTTATTATTATATCAGTAAAATCATCAGATTGTTGAAGAGCTGTGAAAAGATCTTTTTAGATTGCAAGTAAGGCCAAGTGGCGATAAAGGTTTATTTTTCATGGAATCTCTACTATAAATTTTAATGCATTTCAAACATGAAAATTGTCTCTCAACTCAAGTACTTGTAAATGGCGCAGTAAAAAACAAAACAAACAATTTAAAAGCCTCTGGAAATATATTTCCAGGATTGCTCTCCTTAAATTATTTTATGCTCGAAATTGTCATACCTATTATCAATACCTGCAATTTATTCATTAGGTGCCCGGTGGCGTAGAGGAATTTAGCTCTCGTCTACCAATCTGAAGGTGTGGGTTCGAATCCCACACCCGGCATTTCATCAGCCGACTATTTCTATTAAAATAAAAATAGTTTGGGTACCTAGGTCGACTCAGCCTTAAATGAGTACTTGGGATTCACATTCCTGAGGTAATAATAGGCGGTTGAAGCGTAGTGCTAGCCACATTACCTTCCTTGTATACCGAACGCCTCTAGTATAACAAGCTGTACCTTGCTACTCCCAAGGCGTCAAACGCTATATACGGGAGCTATTATTATTAGTATTATTAATTTATTCATTAATTTATGTTGGTCAATAACATTGTTTGTTTGTTAAATCACTATTAAATGCGTTGGAAGTTGGAAATGTATCAATATAACAAGTTTGTTAAATCAGATGTTAAATGCGTTGGAAATTTTTGATAGGATTCTTTAAAATTCGGATCCGCAAGAGATAAATAATTGAGATATACGAGTACCTATCTGCAAACCTTGTATAACAATGTTATCTAATATTTCATAAAATAAAATTCGCAAAGATATTTGACTTAGCCGCTTTTATTAATATATCGAATTGAAATAGCACAGAGACTTTTCTGTAACAGCTGTTGTATCGTCTTCTTGCACCGAATAAAATAACGCGCTTTTTTATTTCGGATTCTTTTATTTCTGTGACGTATTCTGAAATACAACGGATTATATCATTTTTAATAATCTCGGATAAGCCCAAAAAATGTTTCCAATTTGCTTTAAACGTTTTTTGAATTTTCATATAAAAGTTTTATATGTATTGTTGTTAAGTTTAACGTAGTGTTGTTAAGTTTATATGTATTATTGTATGCTACGTATAACGAATCATATGAAATATCCCCTTAACGAAATGTGATATATCTCCTTATGAAATATCCGGAGTATCCCCTTAACATCTAAGCCTACCGAGCTTCCACAACTTCATGCGAAGGCGACCGGAAATTTCGCCTAAGCCCCGCCTTAATATGATACAACTCCGACTTATGTCGCGTCGCTACCGCACGAGATAGAGACAGAAGACTGCCGTACGTCGTGCACCGACTCTGATAGTAGGCGATGTAGAAATGGCTGAACCAGTGTTACCAACTCCGGGATTTTATCCCTAAATTTGGGGAGAAAAAATCTATATGGTTTTTTTTAGGGAGTAAAATTTTTTGGGGATATTTTTAGGGATAAAATTTCAATGGAATTTTACCGCTACCAAAGAGGAGATAAGACCGCTACTGCTATTTTTCAAAATTAATAGGGAAGTATCAATAAAACAAAATAATTTATTTATTTTAATCACCGAATCTTGGAGAACAGTTGTGGGGAATTTAGTTGTTTGGATTTAAGAAGGTTTGATATTGCTTTAATGGAAAGTTTCGAACAGTTGGCTACATTGCTGTAATCAGACGTTTCAAGGTCAACCACTTAAAACACAACAAATTGTTTATTTATTATTATCTTTGAAAAAGAAGACTAAGGAAGGAGCATAATGCTATCCATGTATTCATGGTGGGCGGAAAAGCCACCATAAAAGCTCTCTAGGGTGGGGATCCTTGACAGTTCTGTTTGACGATTCATTTGACACATTTGAATTTGATTTGAAATTTTGTGGATTTGTCAGTCTTTACGGAGCTTATTTTATGTTATTTATTATTTATTCTACTACTGATAGTTGTATAAAGGTAGTAAATCTATATGGAAATTGTGGCAGAACTTAAATTAACAGTGACACTATCGCGATTTATCGAAAAAGACTCTAAAATAGTTGGTTGTGTAGCGTGCGGTAGATCTCGGCAAAAATTGAGTGAAATAATGGAACAACTTTTCGCTAGTAAGTGACTATATAATATACATACATGTAGTAAACCGATCATTTATGAAATTCACTTAAATTAACTAAATTATATATTTTTCTTGAATTTTTAGCTTTTATTTATTACTTGTCAAAGATTAGATGTCAAAGAATTTAGATACGTTAATTTGACTTACCTGCTTCAGTAGCGTATCGGATGTTTGTGTTAATAAATACCTATTATAACTTATCTATTTTTATTAGAATTATATATTTTTATAACAATTTTAATAACTACCAACATTTATTCACAACGTAAAATAAAACAACAAATTATTGAGTCTACCCCACGTCTACCCTACATCATAGAGAGAGTTGGGAACACTGGGCTGAACAAAGGCACTCCAACGGTCAAAATTATTTTGTTTTCTAACGCAGCGGCGGTCGGCAGTCAGTGGCTTGTCAGTGGTCAGCGTACGCCAGTGGTAGTGAATATGTTAATATACTAGACCACAAATATTAAAATAATATTGATTATTAAAACACACTTCTGTGTATTAACAGTATTATTATTTATTGGCAACATTAATCGTAAAAAATGTAATGTAATAAATTTAGGACCTATGTTGATATAAAAAATAAATCTTATTTTTACGTAAAGAATTTCACCCAAGAAATGGCACATGTTTTTTGAAACACCCATTATAACATATACTTAATAGGTTGTTTTCTTTTATCTATGAACATTATATTAATTTCCTTACCTCCAGAAGTTTGTGTAACTCCAATGACAGATGACGGCCACGGCTTTGGTCTGTCATCGTCGATATATCTCACGTCCTCACTTCGGTAGAGATGAAACAACCAGCTCACACACTGTACTTTTATCACACCGCCCTGAAAACACATGTTTGAAACATTATTAATTGCACTCGGTGCGAAAAAAATAAAATATATTTGTAAGCATTAATTACATTAGTAGATGGATTAGTTTAAATTGTATATTATATAAGTAAGTTGACAGATAAAGTCGTAAATATTTATTATACATGTAAATCATTCAGCACAGTAGGTATATTTATTTAATTCAAATAAATATATGTACCAATTCATTCAGATCGTTGAATAAATTTTAATTACATAATCGACTTGTTCGCTTATCAAATTGATTTATTTCATAACGAAAAAATTATCAACTCTAAAAAATAGAAAAGCGAGTAGAAAAGCATTTTTTATTTGTAAAATGTTTCTAAGTAAAATTCAAACGGACAACAAATAAACAAATTTGTCTAAACAAGAATGCCTCAAACATGAAACAAGAATATCTATCCCTAGGAAAAATACCACTACACGCAGATATATTCCTAATGAATCATATCATAGTATTGAACATAAAATGGCTAGTTTAAATTTCTTAGTTCATAGATTACTTAGTTTTCCACTTTCCAACGAAATATATGAAATAGAAAGAGATTACATTAGGAATGTAGCTGAGTGTAATGGATATTCTCCTTCACTAGTTGATAAAAGAATTAGAAAACGTAGGTATAGGTTAATGATTTCTGAAAATTCGACTTTTCAAGTGGAGAAAGATACGACAAAATATTTTTCAATACCGTTTGATAGACAGTTATCCCGTGGTCTATAAGGAATTTTTAAGAATGTCAATTACAAATTTGTGTATAGTGCTAATAATAAATTACAACAATTATTAGGTAATCCAAAGGATAAAACACCGCTACTGGAAAGGTCGGGTATTTATGAAATTTCTTGTAAAGATTGTAATCAGAAATATGTTGGGCAAACTAGAAGATCAATATTAACTAGATTTAAAGAACATTTAGCTCAGATAAGATATGGTAGACCTGATAAATCTTGCGTTGCCGAACATATTGTTGATAAAGAACATTGTATAGATCTTAATAACTTAAAATTACTTAAACAAGTCTCAAATTACAGGCAATTAGATGCATATGAAAGCATCAGAATTAATAAATGTAAAGATAGTATGAACAGAGACAACGGTCCAATTCCTTCAAGTTCTTAGTTCCTATTACTCTAGTGGCGGAAATCTAACTGTTACGCTCGGTGGGTTCTGACTCGGTTGGCTAGATTTTGCCACGCCCACTCTGTGCCCACTGAGCGAGTATATAAACGCTTCAATTGTAGATTGTATTTTAGTTTATAATCATCTGCTGATGATGCTAACATGGTTAGCGAAACGCGAGTCCAGTGTAAAAGTAAAACTGCTTTGGTGTATTGTGGTGATTTAGTGTTTTATTTTGCTGTGTAACACCAAAGGTTCCAACCCTCAACTGTAAGCCAGAAGCAAAAGAAAACAAAAAATAAAGGTAAACTAACTGGTAAAACCAAGATTAATGTTCTGATAAACTGACATTACATAAAATCATACTTCAAATTGACAATTATTATTACTACCTACTTCTGACGACGGAGAAAGATATTAGACATCCAAAGTACGTTGTTTTTTAACATATCTGTTAACGTTTGACCATAGATAAACGAAACAAGTTTAGATTGGAAAGTGCCCATAAGGACAATGTAAACTCTATATGGCGCTATTCTTGCAACGGTCGCGACCCAAAGCTTTTGAAAATTTCGGAGCGGTTCGGCTTTTTCCGGAATTATATCGCCAAATATTGTTTATTCAAATTTATTATTATTTTCTTTTAATTATGGTTCAATACAGTTGCAAAAAGGTAGTGGCTCGACGTCCTACCAACGTAAGAATAAGGAAATCTAAACAACGTTGGAATTAGTAAAACAGACGACGTTTGCATAACGTTGGAATAGGTCCTGAAAGTGACGTCGGAAAACTCTTTATTGCCCAACATTGTAACTACGTTGTCCGAATCACCTAAAGATCACTTAAGCAAAAAAGTTACAAGACAACGTTTATTCGACGTCGCAGAAGCTTTTACTTTGTTGTATTACTAGTTGAACGTCGGTACAACGTTACAAAAACGTTGACATTTATTTTAATACCCAAGGTACGGAGCTAATTATTTTTTGTAACTAATCCAACGTTGTGTTTAGTAAACATGTGGTCGCAAGTCGTGAAAATGCTACTTGGGAGCCACTGATAAAAAATGGTTTCCGTTTGGATTCTACGCAGCAGCAACTTCCTTGTTCATGGGCAAAATATGTACCTCTAATGTTTTCGAGAAATTTTATTTACCAAATTAGATAAGATGAATTATTAAATTATTTTATCTTACCTGAAAAACATTTTCGTTTAATTCCTTCGATAGATAAGACACTGTCATATATTGGCGATGTTCATAGTGGGAAGATGATTTTACAATAGAATTATTTTCCAAAGGAATTACTTTTCGACCATTTTCGTCAACCTAAAAAATAAACCCTAATAAGTAAAATTAAAATATCACGTATCACGTAGATAACTTAGACGTAAATCCAAACTGATTCTTAAAAAACATACTATTTTTTCAAAGTGTGACACTATTTGATTTTTCAGAACTGTTTCAAAGACTTTAGAAAGTGCGGGCAAAATCGAAATTGGTCTATAATTACACTAGTTTACAAAGTTTAACTTTCTTTTATATACCCCGAAATAAATGCACATAAATAGGTTAATCTACCTTCCTTAAACTTAAAAATGTTATGGTGCGTCCAGACCTGAGGAGTCGAGTGCGAGACGAGCGCGAGACATTCCAAATTTGCGGTGTTTTTCAAAGGATGGAGGGGTCTCGCAAGAGCCTCGCGACGGTCTCGCGGGACAACCCACGGAGCCTCGTGTGGCCTCGTTGCTATCCGTTCCCTGTCGGTTTTTCAACGGCCGAGAGAGAGAGAGAGAGAGAGAGAGAGAGAGAGAGAGAGAGAGAGAGAGCAAAGAAAGCTCGCAGCCAAGTCTGGACGTGTTTTTGGTAGGCCCGCTCGACCGCGAGATATTAGCTCTGATATTATAGTGCATATTGAAATGGAGACTTTCAGGAAGAAGATCAGCTGAAATTAATCGATTTATTTAAAGAAAAACCAATATGATGCAGTCCAAAAGATAAAGAATATTAAAAAACACGATGCGTGTGTAGATATGTGAATAAAACTTGGGAAAAATGTACAAATTATTTCTCTACTGGCAACTAACAGGAAGGAGATTATTATAGGAAGATTAATTATTATTGAATCTTGTTACCTATAGTAAATTAAATATACAGGGTGAGCCAACGATAAAGTTCATTATTTTATTTGTTTTGAGAATTATTAAAAAGTGTTTTAGAATTATTAAAAAATAGAAAAACTGTAGAGAAGGTTAAGATACACATTTTAAAATTATTATAGAGTATACAGGGCGGTTCAAAATAGTGTTACGGATATAACATAGTTTTCTAAATGTAATACATTATTTTTTTTTATTTTTAGATTCTGCTTAAAATTTTATGACTTTTTTTATGTCTTGCTCTCGTCTCGCACTCGTCTTGCTCTTGCCTCGCTCTTGTCTCGCTCTTGTCTCACGCTCGTCTCGCACTCGACTCTTCAAGTCTGGACGCACCATAAATAGTTTCGACGTTACAAAAGTTCCATTTTCAAACGTAAATTTTAAAAATATTACAATATTAATTTCTAAACAGAGCAAAAGGTTTTAAACAATGCTACTATCTCGCAATCTTTGTAAAAATCATAAATATTTTTAACTCAAGTCGCTGAGAAAATAGACAAATTATTATTTGACATATTTCTCACAAATAGCATAGTGAGTCGCTGATGAAATTGAGTAATACTGAAATTATTTTAAATCTGTGATCTGTGAGATAAACAACGATATTTAGCGTTAATGTTCCAGCACTACAACGACCTTCCAAACAGCGTCGGTCAAGTGGTCGAAGTGGTTCTGTATTGGGTGTAGCCAGGAAAATGCACCATGTTACACAAGTATACCATAGTTGATAGGTTCATTTGAATGCCCTTCTCTACTCTCTATCATTATGTATGCCGTCGCACTTATAGATGCCTTACTTATATGGCTTCCCCTAGGAGATGCAAGACCTTGTAGTTGGTGGGGAAGCTCCTGGTCAGGTGCTGGGGGAAATCCCCTCTAGCACTTGGCTTGGTGTAAGAAGCATCTCACTCATCGTCTTGTCCCTGACTGTAGTGTCGTGGCCAGGGAATTGCACCAAGCATTATAACGATACCGGGCGGGGCTACGGACAGCCTCAACCTTGGGGCACCGGGGGGCACCCTATTGTATTTTACCCCCTACTTATACATGCGGGGCTCTGTAGAAGTGGACCGACTGTCCCTAGCGACTCATAGGAACACTGTGAGATCTGGTAATAATAGTAATAAAAACATCACCGGTGAAGCTGTGGGGAAACCCCCTAGCGACACTGGGAACAGTAACAATGAAAGTTCCAAGGGGCCAAACCCAAAGAGAACTACAGAAGAGGTGGCTGACACTTGCGTGAGACCATCCTCCGCAAGTGGCATACAAGCTACCACCTCCTCCATGGGTCGGGAGCCTACCTCCTACCTCTAAACCCAACAGGCGACACAAGCTACCGTTTCGTCTACCCGGCCTGGGTCGTAGCTCCTCGACTGTGAGGGACACGGGTCTCCGTAGGAAGTCCTGGGACTGTATGATGAATTATAACTCAAGAAAGGGGGACACAATAGATCTCTAAGGTCGCAGAGATTAACCCCCCTCCCACTTATTCTAAATTCTATTCTACTTATATGGAGTTAACATAGTTTTTATTGTACAAAATAAAAAGATACCTTTAATCCATTTATGTACCAAGTTATATTCATTGGTGGAAATGACGGGGGTGCGCTACAATTAGCTGTTACTAAAACAGCTGAATCTGCTACTTCTTTCTGTATGTGCAGGATGGGATTCTCATGAGGAACATCTGAAAGTAGGTGAAATTAGTAGTCCTACAGCTGAAAATATTGATAAAATTTTTATACATTTTATGTTAAATATTTTTTTCTAAACAGTGCAATCAAAATTTGAATTCGATTTTTGAATTCAGAGTTCTAATAGCGCGACCACTATCGAACACCCACTTATTATAATTCCACTTATTTTTACCAAAAATGCAAGTGTTTCTAACTTGCACTTAAAAAAATTCAAGCTATAGGGAAAATTACAACGACTCGTTAATAAATAAACAAATTAAGTATCACGAGACGTAATTAAATCGTGAAGCTAAACGCATGACGTACACCTTTCCGTAGAACTTTAAGTACTGACAGTACTGACAGAGGTATCGATCGATTGGGTCGATCGGTCAACTGCGACAAATCTGCTATATCCCCTTCCACGTCTCTTAGCGATGTGCACAGTTTCTCGGTTTATTTCATACGTTTAGCAACGTGTGTTTACTGACCTCTCTTTGTTCAGTACATTATAAACGCATTGTACTCTTCTTACATACGGAAATCTCGACCCAAGACTAACCTTTGCCAGCCCTTAGTATTACTTTTATAGAAAATAGATATTTCTATTGTAGATACAAGTATGTATGTATACAGGGTTGTTCACCACATACGACACGGAGTATTGTAGCTAAACGATTAGATTTTTACAAATTGTAAGTTTTGGGTTCTTTGAAGGATTATTAGAGCTACAATTTAAAAATATTTTTACAAGATACAGAGTGTCCCAACTAAGTAAAAAATATTATAGTTGTATTTTTTTAAATGGAACTCCTGTATATTATTCTATTTTAGATTCTACCATTAAAATAAAAGGTAAATTTGATTAAGGTTCATCATACTTAAACCTTACCGTTTCTGAAATATTTTCAATTTTATGAAATTGCAGTAAAAATTTTAAGGCTTCATTTCTCCAAGGGTATCAAAGTTTTTAATACTAAATATTTACTGAAGATTATTTATTGGCCAGATATTGTGTTGCAATAATAAAAAAAATACTACCTTATACAGAGTGTCCAAAAATGTATATTAAATAATTACTAGCTTTAAACGGCAATAGCGTGTTTAATTTAAATGGAACACCCTATATATTTTGCATGAATCAGATGCACAATGTAATTGTCTATCAAATTGTATTATACCATTTTTTACCTATCTCTTTAAGTTTTCGTAGAAAATGCATTTTCGTATAATTTAGACCTCATTTATCACTATACCCATGGAATATTGACATTTTAGATTATTTTTAAAGATGTAACAAATTTTCCAAGAGTACAGATACTAATACTGTCGATATAGCTCGCTTGTTTCATAAAACAAAATAAAAAAACTGTTTAAATATTTATGTTAAAAAGGACCAATTAATATGATGCCAGTATTCAGACTACATTAATTGACTGTTTATGTTGATTAATAATAATTGCTCCAAATACTAAAAAACTGAATTTTGTGTGTGTATTAGACAGTGTGGTAAAAAGTAACGCCTTATAAATTTTATTTCATTTTTTGACGAATGCTGATTTATAAAAACAGAGACGTTTATTTTCATAATTTATTATTATTTTGATTTCTGAGCCAAATCCACATTTATTTAGAATATTTTATTAATTAAAACAATTTAAAAGTATGTAATTAACTAATTTTTGGTCGGAAATAATGGTGGTATATTTAATTCGTATAGTCTTTTATAAAGATTTAAACAGTTTTTTTGGTATATCAATAGGCTTGCAATATTTACCACTTGTACATTTTCTGCATATATGTTGCTTAAAAAAATCTGAAATGTAAATATTCCATGGGTATAGTGATAAATGAGGTCTAAATTATAAGAAAATGCATTTTCTACGAAAAGTTGCAGAGATAGGTAAAAAATGGTATAATAAAATTTGATAGACAATTAAATTGTGCATATGATTCACGTAAAATATACAGGGTGTTCCATTTAACTTAAACACGTTATTGCAGTTTAAAGCTAGTAATTACTTAATATAAATTTTTGGACACTCTGTATAAGGTAGTAAAATTTTTATTATTGCAACACAATATCTGATCAATAAATAATCTTCAGTAAATATTTAGTATTAAAAACTTTGATACCCTTGGAGAAATAAAACATTAAAATTTTTACTGCAATTTCTTAAAATTGAAAATATTTCAAAAACGGTAAGGTTTAAGTGTGATAAACCTTAATCAAATTTACCTTTATTTCAATCGTAGAATCCAAAAATAGAATAATATACAGGGTGTTCAATTTAAAAAATACAACTATGATATTTTTACTTATTTGGGACACTCTGTATCTTTAAAAATTTTTTTAATTGTGCTACCTAATAGTCCTTCAACGAACCCAAAACTTACAATTTGTAAAAATCTAATCGTTTAGCTACAATACTCCGTGTCGTATGTGGTGAACAACCCTGTATACTTTTTCAAACAGAGAATATTAATAAATTCTAAAAAGTAAAAAGTACCGTCCTATGACAGCATCGTACAACAAAATTGAACGGCCACTCACCATCAAATCTTTTAGTTTAAAAGAGTTGTTCAAGCAAAAATTTCGGAAATCAAAGAAGATAATTTGTAGGCAACATCTGCAGTATGTGTAGTGCAAACTGAATAATGCAAAAAACAATAACCCAATCGAAGTTGGTGGTGTAAGGAATGGTTTCTAAAAAGAGCCACATACTATATTCACATATTAATCTATTCAATTGCAACTGTGCCCAGATGATTGGCGTAATTATCTGCGAATGTACGAGATTTAGTTACTTAATTTAGTAGCACCCTTAATTAGAAAAAAATATTTACAACAAAACGGTTCGATTATACTGATGTAGTTAACAAAAAAATATTTGATTAGTATACCCCGAAAATGTAAATTCACTCGGACTGGTTGAACATGGCAAATTAAAAGTAAATTTCCAATTTACAGAGAAGACCAGGCTACCGTAACATAGCAAGTTGCCGGACGAATTTACGTTTACCGTTTTGCGTTCGTACTCGAGATTCACTGCCGGCTAGTCGGCTGGTCAGGCAGTACGCAGTTGCAGTTGTGCTTGGACGGGTCGGTCGTGACAGACTAGGAAGACGACGCGAGGAGTGCCGTAATTTATTATTTTCATTTTAAGTGTTTACCTTCACTTAAGGTAACATTTAAAATAAAAATACTTAAATATTTATTATTTGAGTATGTTTACAAGCCAAAACTAAAAATAAATAAATTCTCTAAAATATTACTCTAAATAAAAAAAAGTTAGAACAAGTGTTCAAAAAGACCATCTTCTTGTGCTAGACACAAGCCTAGGCGGTCTAGGTAAATCCCCGTCTGACATTGGCTAACATATTAGGGCTAATATTAAAGCCTCTCGTATTTTTACTTGAAGCTGATCCAGATTATTAGCCCTATTATGACCATACACTTTGGATTTTACATAACACCACAAAAATAAATCATTGGGAGAAAGATCTGGTGATCTAGCGGGCCACAAAATAGTTCCATATCCACTAATTAAACGGTTGGAAAAAGTATTGTTCAAATATACTTGAACAATACGGGCATTGTGGGCAGGGCAACCACCTAAGAAATTTGATTACTTGAAAACGTGGGATTTTGATCCGCGGTAGCACAAATGAACACTTGCTTTAACTCCTGTTCTTCATTAATCAACATATCAGGCTTTTAGTGTTTTTGTGGGGACACGCACCCATGTGTATCAAAATTATTAATAACTCTTGATATAGTAGGTAAAGATGGAATTGGCCTGTTTACAAAAGTTTGTGGAAAAATTGTTTGTATCTCCCGATAAGACCTATTTTGGAAATACCATTTTACAATTTGAATCTTCTCACGAACTCCGTAAACATCCATTATTTTACTTAGAAAATAAATTTTACACGAGAGCTGTCGCGAGAATTTATTACTATTTTTATTTTATCGCATTTTTTCGCCTGCTTTTTATACGGCGGACGGGTATACGCTAATTCGTCCGGTTCTGCCTATGTTACTACTACGGTGGTCCGGTCTGTATACACAACCAAACTTATATTGAATCAGTCTTTATTTCTGACTAAATTTCTTGTAAGGATAAAAACTAAATGTATACAACTTTAAGATAAGGCTTTTTGTTGTAAATAAACATGATAATAAAGAATAAACGACTGCGACGATTTATTTTCTTTTGAATTTTGTGTTCAGTAGTAAAATCACGACTGTCATCAGAAAAAAAAATGCAAAGAAATAAAAAATGCCTTATGCTGGATTAACAGATGTACAGAGGGGAAGAATTATTGCCCTCGCCGAACAAGGAATGATCCAAAGAGACATAGCAGAGATAGTAGGCTTTAACCAGGGTGTTGTATCGAAAACATATGCAAGCTACTTGGAAATAGGAACACACAAGGATAGGCCCAGACAAAGTCGTCAAAGAGTTGACGAAAACTGAACAACAAGACCGCCATGTGTGCCAAATTGCTAGAACAAATCCTAATGTTTCTCATCCAGAGCTACAAAGACAACTTCTGGCAGCTACAGGTGTGAACGTTTCAGTTGAAAGAAAAATACATCGTGCTCGAGGGTTGTACAGTAAGAGAGAGTTACAAGTCCCAAGGTTATCTCGGCAAAATAAAATTTACCGGCTAAATTGATGCCTTCATCATCAAAACTGGACAAAACTGAGAATTGATAAAATGTTTTTCTTTCGGATGAGACCAGAATTGGCCTAAAATCAGATAACAATCGAATTCGGGTTCTCAGAGCTCCAGGACGACAAGCAAGACTTCAGGCTGCCAAATTTGTACCAAGATATAAAGGAGGAACTGTAATGTTCTGGGGAGGTATTATACTGAAAGCAAAAACTACATTGTTACCACTTCAAAAAACTTTAACGGGTCGGAGATATGTTGATTTGGTGCTAGAACCAATCGTTAGTCTTTGGAGAGCTGCAATTGGGGATAATTTTAACTTCATGCACGATAGTGCACCTCCCCATACTAGCAGAGTGACTAGAGAATGTCTTGAAACGGAAAGTGTTATAGTTTTCGACTGACCTGCATGTTTACCAGATCTAATCGATCAGATCCCTATCGAACATTTGTGGGACTAGCTCAAAAGAAGGGTTAGAGCTCGTCGAAACTATCCAGGAAATCTTGCACAACTTATTGATGCAGCATTATTAGAATGGGTGTAGCGTTTTTTATAAACATTACCACTGCAACCGACAGCTTTTCGTTGGTAGAGCAGTCGTGGATAAGATATTTCACTGGAAAGAACTAATTAACAATAATAACTCGAAATTATAAATATTGGGCGCCAGGCATGAACAGAGAAAGAAAACACAGTTGTTTATTACTTAAAACTAGTGACTATATTCATTCATGATGTATCCTGATGGTAAATAGCATTGTACAATTTTAATAATTATTATAGTGGTTATATGTCGAGTAAAGCTATGTATGTAAATAATATTAAATATGTTCTATGAATAGACTATGAAAAAATACAATGCGTGTAACGTTATAGAAAATATAAGAAAGGTAGCATTATTTTACTTAAATTGTTAAATTTTATGCGGTGTTAAATCTGATATGTTGCAACCTGTAGATTCTAGAACCTATGTCTGGTTATTCATCTGTTAATATAGCGTAATAATAATATCTATAGAAAGTAATACTATTACAAGGCGTAATGTAATGAAACCTAAAATCTAAATCATATTGTAACAACTAAATCGACATAAATGTTCTTAATAATCTAACCACTATATATAATCTGTACGATATTATTTAAAATGTACGTTAAGTTAAGACTGAAAATCGACAGAAAACCAGAACCTAAATCTACACTTAGCTGTTCTTGAGGCAATCCTGTTTCAGAGAGTAGCAGCGTGAGGTGGGCTCATACCTCTGTACTGTCTGTCGGCGATCCTGTTGGCCAAAACAACAAAAGGGGCCAGAATGAGGACACCATGAATCAATACAGCCGTAGCTACTGACTAAGCTTAGAAATGGGAGCGAAGCAGCATGGGGCTTACGCTGTATCCATACTGTGGCAATATGGGGACACTACCCGTACCTTGGAACACTACTAGGACCTTGGATAATGTCGTAACCTGGACCATAACCTTGGACACAGTCCGTCCATAAGATAACGGTACAGGGGAACACTACCCGTACCTTGGACACAGTCCGTCCATAAGACCCTAAAAATACGAAACTCTTGTTTAAAAATCCAAACAAGGTCTAATAAACAAAATAAACCTACCTCGAAACACTTCCGAGGGCTCAATAATAAACAAAAGAACTGTCCTTTCTTCCATTTAACATTCGAAAAGTGAAGTTAAGCGCGGAGAGCGACCTAACCTTGGAGCGATGTTGACAGCGCCTCCACAGAGCAGTGAAACGATAACAGGGTTGGCGACTAGGGAACTTAAAAATTACGCCAAACGTGCCAAATAAATTATCAGGCCTGAACGTTACGGAATCCGGTGATGATAGGCCAGACATCATATATTATATATAAAAAAGATATATAACGAACTAAAAACGTTACATGGGAAAACATACCCCAAAAGACAACATTGATAATTTAATAAGAAGCATGCCAGCGCGGATAGAAGCTTGCATAAGGGCTAGATGTGGCAACAAGGAATATTAAAATTATCAATTTTCTTTTTGTTTTCGCTTTTTGGCCATTAAAAATTTAAATCTTAATTTCGTTTTAGAAAACAAAAAAATACGATTTTGCTTATTTTTCATTAAAAGTCATTGATAAGAACTGAGTTTTATTCATACACAAAATTTTCATACGTCTCAAAAATTATGAAAAATAATAGATGATTCCATATAAGTTTGATTGTGTGTATATTTTTTATATATTACCTATCACGTACATCATACCAGCCGCCATCTTAGTATAAAAATTGGGAGCATCTGATGTGACTTCGCATTTGTACCGACCACTAATTTTGGGTTGAACATCTCTGAGTATTAGTTCATTTGCATTGCTCTTGCTTAACTAAAAATATGCAATAAACAGATATTTACTCGTCAATCAAAATTATTTAATCACATATAAGCAGGGTTCGGATAACTACATGTTACTTTTAAAAACTACATAAACTACATTACATGTAGTTAATGTAGTTTATGGAGAGAGTGTAGTTTATGTAACCTATGTATGTAACTTTCAAATATCAAAGGTTCGAGGTGAGGTTATAATAAGTTGAAGCTTTAAAAACACATAATGTATTTAAGAAAGCAGAAGAAATATGGTTTTAAATATAATATTTACATCAAATTATCTCTATTACACCTCATACAAAGGAAAATTATTCATAATATCAATACATAGTTTATTAACGTACTTTTCATGTAGTAAATGAACGGGAAAAGACGTAGTTTTTGAAGAAAAACTACACGTAGTTAATCAGGTAAATTACGCCTTAATTAACTACTTCCGAACCCTGCATATAAGTAAAACTTTAAAATATTTATTATGTGTTTCTAAATGGATTATATAATATTATACAGGGTGAGTTATTCTACTACGATGTTCTCGATGGGTATCTCGGAAACCACTGAAGCTAGAGAGTCGGTTAAATGGGGAAAGAATTGCAGTTCTGTGAGGACAAACATATGCGCCTTTCCAATTTTTGAAAAAGTTTATGGCTTACTAGATATTTCGAAAAAAAAAATTTTGGCTATTTTAAAAATACTCCCTAATTGCATTAGATATAATCTATTTTGGACAAAAAGTTGCAGATAATCACATCCTTGATGATTGTGTTCTCCGTTTTTTTTTCTAAAATTTGTCATTTTTTACATATGACACAAACCATATGATTTTTTAAATGAAAATCACAGTTGGCCAAGTTCATAAAAAGCGCGTTTTTTAAGGTTTCCACCGATATAAGCAATAATATGTTTTTTGTTCGAAAAATTACTGAGTTATAGCCAATTCATATATTTTTTGGCTAATTTCACTTAGTTGGCATGGTATTCTTATTCAATACATGTTAACTTATAGAAAGACCATAATATATTTTATTAAACGATTCTTTTCAATTTATATTAAACAAATTAAAACTAAAAAAAAAACTAATATCACTACATACACTTTAAGTTACTTTAACAAATGTTCAAAAACTCCATTGTCTTGAGTACATAAAATACATCTTTTTAAAACTAGATTACAAACTACACAAGCTATTATTATATTAAGCTAGAGTTTTTCCGTCGAAGAAGATTTCATTTAGAAATTCACACAATACTTTTAAACAAAATGTTAATAATCATTATATTTAAATTTTGAATGGTTTCTTAATCCTTGTAGTAGTATTAGGACATAAACATTTTATATGTATATATTTTTTTAATTTTACTTACATCAACATTTATACCAGGTATCGAAAAGACCATCATACTGGGCGTTTCTTTGGGAATGTATCTGAAAAATTCGTTAGGTCCTTTGTACCATTTTATCGAGTAGAGCAGATCTCCTTCTAAGTCGTAGTCACATCTTAAAGTTACTGTATCGTAGGTTCGTACTGCTCTTGGTACAAGGACTGATACATCTCCTAGCCCTAGTATACCTAAAATAAAACAAAAACATTTACAAAAGTAACAGATTATGTTCAGACATTATTTATATTAGTACTGAAAATACTACTGGAAATTATTAGGAAAAAATCGAAATAAAAAAGAAACTTCTACACCCTGTATCTCCGAAACTAAGCATTTTCGGACATACATTTATGCGAACTTTTTTGCTTATTTTTATGTTCAGAATATGCTGCCGAAGTTTCCGGAGTACAGTTCGGACCATCCTGTATAATAGACCGTCATATTACTATTTTAAATACTATAATTGTGTTACCATTCTAATTATTTCTCCAAAAAAATCCTTTGTGGGTATTTCGCCACTGCACTGCAAGAAAATCTACAAAATAAAATAGTTATTTTTTGTAAACACATCTGCGTTAAACAAAAACGGACGCTGCTTATCAATAGTTATGTTTACAGTAATACAAATTTGCCTAACAAAGAAAAAAATGCTTAACGTTTCGGAAAGTTATCTCTTTCCGTCGTCGGAAGCAAAAAAATACAAAGAATAAAGAAAAAACTATTTAAAATATTTAAATTCAACTATTCGAGAACACTTTACTTTTTTAAAATTTAGATACGCCTACAAGAAACCGTTGACGTTCTGTTTTAAAACAATATAGTTTTAATTAGACTTATTTACCCACATTAATAGAGGATTGTGTCTCCTACTTGAAGAAAAAAAATTTGTTTCGAATTGTTCACGAATATTTGCATCTAAACTACTCAAAATTCAAAGTGCTAAATGGAAAAAAGGTGAATAAAATAGTGTCTAAATATTATATACAGGTTGTTAACTCGACGGTTACTTATAGGGGAACAGAATGGCAACATTGCCCATTGAGAACGCATGCATTATTGATTTTTCTGCCGACTCGTCCGGTCGCGTCGTCTATCGACGAGCGGGCCGAGGTTGCCATATTTCAACCATAAAGCTCTTGCAGAGAGTAATGAACAAATTAATAACCTGTATATTTCATTAGACATAGACATTTAATTCAGTCCATTCCATGTCCTACATTTTTGCCATTAAGAATGTTATAACAACATGGCGGCTTTCACTTTGTTGTTTTGGAGATTAAGATGGAGTAGTTCGAGTAGTTGCATACTGGACTAATAAAGTCGCAGTTCGGCCTTAACAGGTAGTATACTAGTCGCAAGATTGCCTAATTTAGTCATCCTAGAGTCTAGCTTGTGCCGCCCTCTATAATCTAAATAAACGAGGAAGTGGATAAACTATCGGTAATATATGTCGATGTATATTTATTTAAGTTTAGTTTTATATGTACCTTGCTTATGTCCCATTTTAATTAAGTTTTTTTTATAAAAACAAAAACAGCACTGAACTGTCTGACTGAACAGAACAATGAAGTGAAAATTTAAGATTTAAGGTTATGGTTCAATACAGTTGCAAAAAGGTAGTGACTCGACGTCCTACCAACGTAAGAATAAGGAAATCTAAACAACGTTGGAATTAGTAAAACACACGACGTTTGCATAACGTTGGAATAGGTCCTGAAACTGACGTCGGAAAACTCTATATTGTCCAACGTTTTAACTACGTTGTCCGAATCACCTAAAGATCACTTAACAAAAAAGGTTACAAGACAACGTTTATTCGACGTCGCTGAAGCTTCTACTTTGCTGTAGTACTAGTCCAACGTCGGCACAACGTTATAAAAACGTTTAAATTTATTTTAATACCCAAGGTAGAGAGCTAACTATATTTTGTAACTAATCCAACGTTGTGTTTAGTAAACATGTGGTCGCAAGTCGTGAAAATGCTACTTGGGATATGTTTTTACCCTAAAGTTTTTTTCTAAGTAAAAAAATTAAAGCAGATTTTTAATATCCACAAATATGCTTACAAATAGAAAATAATTCTGCAAGCAAACTCTCGCATTAACCATACTTTACAACCTCTTAAACAAAACGTCACTTCAATTATTATTCCATCTCAAAGAAACCTAATATTTCCGTAATTAAATTTGATAAATCCAGATGATTTATAACAAGTCCAAGTCGCCGATATATTTAGCTTCCGTTCCAGGTGTCATATCCAGAAGTAGGTATTTTTAGGCGATGACATGAAGGCTACCGCAACAACCCAAAGTACAAGATTATATGAGCGAGGCTTAAATATAAACGCGTCATTAGCGAGTGCCGTGTACCGGTAGTGACAGAAATATTATTTCGCAACCACCACTACTATATTTCCGTTCGAAGTTGTTTTTTTTTCCGTTTCAGATTATTAGAGATGGTTGAAAATGAAAATAAAATGATTATTGAAATACAAGATGATTTAAAAAACATGACTGAAAATATATTTATTAATCTGCTGATAGCATACATAGCAAAACGCTCTTCCAGTGTTCAAAGTAAAGTAGTTTGGTCTGTTGTGTGAACTAGTGTTTTATTTTGCTGTAACACCTAAAAATTTCAACCTCAGTTAATAGCCGGAGAGCTGGCGACATATTTAGAGAACATATTTTAAGCAAGTTAGAATAACAAAAAAAATAAAGTTTATTAACTTGTGAACACAGAATCCTAAGTCTGGCTGGGGGGTTGGGGGTATTTCGCTACTGCGCAAACCATAACATTTGCAAAAAAATAAATCCAAAAAACATTCTTTGGGCAACTTGAAATTTGTTTATTCTTAAATTTTAGCATCTATTTAACCTAGAAATAACTATGCCAGACTTTTTTTTCGGGTTTAAAGTGTAACCCGACCATTCCAAATATGTTTAATTAGTATACCCGGAAAAAAAAAATTTACAGCGTGTTTATTAGATGATATTAAAAAATATGTGTTAATTGCCAGACGAATTCAATGGGATTTAATACTTGCCAGACGTAAATAAAGCTTTTAAATGAGGGCGACAAAAAAGTCTTATGAGTATCTATAAGCGCGAGAAAGATAGTTTATTTAGACCCGTCGCCAGCCGATGCGGCTGACGTAACAGTATTTTGGAGTAATTCAAATTTTCATAAAAACAATTTTTTTTCGGTTTCATTTCAATTATTTGTAGTCTTTTAATTCAGAGATTATTTTGTTGGAATTAAGTTACCATATACAAATATGTATTTATAAATTAAATATTGACGTGCATAGTGTAAATAGTTTAGAATAATTACTGCAAATAAATATTTTAGTAACTACTAATTTCGCTACTAACTACTAAATCACAATGGATAAAAAACATTTAAGTTGTGTAGTTTGTAAAAAGTTAATAGTGACAAAATTATTGTTTTTGATGAAGGCAGACTACAAAAATGCAAAGAATTTTTAAAAGTGCGCCAACAACATGGTTTAAAATTTAAAGAAGTGGTTTTACCAGAAAACGTAGTTCCGACAAAAGGATACCATGTACAGTGCTAAAAAAATAAGTATTCTGGGATTTTATTAAAGTACCATTTTTAATCTTTCTAAATAGATTCAAAAGTAAGTAAAAGTGCTTTACTTTTATGCTTAGGCGTTAAAATGACTTTTTTATATTGTCAATCAGGTCGCAAAAATTAATAATAATATAATATGTCACAAAAGTATAATAATAATTATACTTTTGTGACGTTTGAAAGAAATATATTTTATATTATGCTAAATTTTAAATAATTATTCGTCTTTTTATTCTTTCAGATACAAAATACTTAAATTAAAAAGTCTTCTTATTGAAAGGATTTCAATCTACATTTTTATTAAAAAATGTTTCTTTTTATTTATTCAATATTAGTTAGTTTTTTTTTAAGTTTTCACGACTCCAAAATGCTGTTACGTCAGCCGCATCGGCTGCCGACGGGTCTCAATAAACTATCTTTCTCACGCTTCTGGATACTCATAAGACTTTCTTATCGCGCTCATTTAAAATCTTTATTCGCGTCTGGCAAGTATTAAATCCCATTGAATTCGTCTGGCAATTAACACATATTTTTTAATATCATCTAATAAACACGCTGTAAAAAATTTAGAATGCCTAAAGTATGTTTTCCAGGTATAATAATTAAACATATTTGGAATGGTCGGGTTACACTTTAAACCCGAAAAAAAAAGTCTGGCATACTTATTTCTAGGTTAAATAGATGCGAAAGTTTAAGAATAAACAAATTTCAAGTTGCCTAAAGAATGTTTTTTGGATTTATTTTTTTGCAAATGTTATGGGTTGCGCAGTAGCGAAATACCCCCAACCCCCCAGCCAGACTTAGGATTCTGGATTCACCAGTTAATAAACTATACATTTTTAGTTATTCTAACTTGCCTAAAATATGTTCTCTAAATATGTCGTCAACTCTTAGGCTATAAGAAACACAGTATATTATACTGTGTTATATCCAACAGGCATACAAGCTACTGTTTCCTCTAGACAGCCGCGGGACCGGCGTGGGTCAACCAGGTGGACTAGACGATTCGCTGAGAGTAGATCTCACCAGCACAGAAGTACGGAGATATATTCGACTGCTCCACGAAAGATTTGCTCCAGAGGAAGCAAAAGCGAAAACATTCCTCAAAGAAGTGGAGAGTAAAGGAACCATGAAACAGCCTGGCGCATCTCCACCACAGAGCAAAAGAGGGAGCAAGAACCTCTTACCTCTGGTAAGAGTCTGTAAAGCCGTCCAACACCGAGAGGCAAGCAGGAACGTATCATCAGCTTTGTCAGAACTCCAATGTAAGGACATCGAGTTGGCGAGTCATCAATTCAAGAGAAGACGGCCATGGTCAGGTCTTTACGATAAGAATTGAGCTCAAATCCAAGGCAGCGATTTTGCACGCGTTCCGACAGTTGTATTTAATTCTGTTTTATTTGCCGGTGCATAACTATTTTACCGGAGTATATGCGAAGGAGCTAATTTATTTATATTGCAATCGATTTGTATTTGTTATTGCTCTAATTCACCACCACACACCAAAACACTTTACTTTCGCACTGGACGCCCGTTTCGCTAACCATGTTAGGAACATCTGCAGATGATTAAAACTAGCAAGAAACGTCCTCAT